CATTTCCATATCAAAGGGTAATTACCTGGGCAAAGAAGGGCTTTATCTGTACCTGAGAGGTGAGGGTGATGCCAGGGTTCTTGTTTGCGGAGCCAAAGAATGAGCTTCACAGTCAAGGTAGGAGAGCAAGGTACAGGCTTTTATTTAGAAATAAAGTGAGAGAATAGAGCTCTTGGCTCATGCCAGGAGGGGACAAGAGAGCCATTAGTGGTGCATTGTCTAGGAGATTTTATAGGCAGCTGAGGATTTTTCGAGAACATGAAAAAACTTAGAGGTGTGAACTTGTTAAGTGGTCTCTGAATATTTAGAATTAACTTAACACAAGCAACTTCCTCTGATGATTTCTCCCTGAGATACCAGCATCTTCGTCTGGGGGGCATATGAAACAAGGCCACCTGCTCAGCCCCCAAGGTGGGCTGAGGTATTGTTTGCTAAAGAGTAAGTTAAGAATTTTTAACTTCTTAACTTCTTGGGTATTAAAATGCAATCTTATCTTTAAGGTGGAATCCTTCCTGCCTTTTACTGTGTTGTTTATGCCTGGGCTTACTTGCTAAATTAGTTGCCCAGCTTGCAAAATCACTTCATAGGATCTGAAGGAGAAAGGTAGCACATAGGCCTGGGCCTTTTACTATGCCAAAGAGAACCTTACACATGATTATAAATGGTTAGCATAATAAAACGTGCTACTCTTCTTTATCTGGGGAACATTAACTGATTTCACTGAAGAATGATTCTAGAGCTCAATGTTTAACATGGAGTTTTAGCGGGGGGGTTTCCTTGCAGGTAGTTAGTTACATTGCTCTGACTGCAAATACCTTGCCCTGCGCCCTCCGGAGGCCCTCACCCTACTCTGACTACATCCATGGTCCCTGTCTCAAGGGGAGGGCTGGTTTTGCTTCTGCTGGAGTGGGAAAGAGAGAAGGCCCCGGACTCCAGTTTGTAAGCAATAACGGACTTTAAACTTTATTTCGACTGATTTCAGTTTTTAGAGGTATTTTGCCCCGGGATTTCCTCTACCCAGACTTTCACCCTGCATTGATTGCATCCCAACTGAGTTTGTCTTGCCTGCCTTTTTGTTTGTCCTTACTTTCACTGACCTGGGCTTGCACTTCCCAAACAAACTGTTAACATCTTGATCTTTGCCTACAGCTCTACGTTTTAGAGGATTCAGAACCTAATCAATAGAAAAGGGAACTGCGCCCAGCTCCCAGGTGGAAAGCAAAGTCAAGCAGTTCTGAACCGTAAGATAAGTGTAAGGAAGCCCACAAAGGTCTGATTTTTCTAATGACTGCTTTGATGCTCTGTGATGTTGTGATTTATAATAAGAAATATGTATTCAGTCTTCTGTTTCCGGCAGAGCTCCTAAAACCCTAGGAAGGCTGTAGATGCTGAGAGCTAGAAAGATGTCTTTTGTTATGTTAACAAGGTGGCTTTTGAAGCACCTAAGGATGCGGGCTGGTTGCCAGAGGAACCAACCAGTGATCAGAGGGTTGGAACTTTCAGCCCCACTCCCTGCCTCTGGGGAGGGGAAAGAGGGTGGAGATCGAGTTCAGTCATCAATGTCCAATGATTTATTCAATCATGCCTCTGTGATGAAGCCTCCATAACCCACCCCAAAAGTAGGGTGGGATTTGGAGAGCTTCCAAGTTAGTAACAATGTGGAGATCTGGGCATTACTGTGCACTTGGAGGGCATGGAGGCTCTGTCCCCTGCCCCAAATACCCTACCCTATGCATCTCTTCAACCTGGCAGTTCCCAAGTTACATCCATTTATGATAAATTGATAATCTAGTGAGTAAACTGGTTGTCACAGTTCTGTGAGCGGCTCTAGCAAATTAATTGAACCCAAGGAGGGGGTTATGGGAACATCAGATTTATAGGCATTCAGTCAGAAGCACAGGTAAAAGCCTGGGCTTGCCAGTGGCTTCTGGAGTAAATGGAGGGCAGTTTTATGGGACTGAGCCCTTGAACTGTGGGATCTAATGACATCTTGGGCTAGTGTCAGAAGTGAGGTACATTGTAGGACATTCAGCTGGTGTCTGAAAATTGCTGGGATGTGTGGGGAAAAAATTTAAACATTGGAGTTGGGTGCAGAAATTTAGTATCTTTAGGAAAACATGAAATATCTCAGTTTCAATTATCTTTTCTTCTTTGGAGAGAAGGGTGCCCTGATTTGCTTGTGTCCAGTGAGCCATCTGGGTAATCCAGCACTGACACTGGAAGGGTGAAACAGAAACCCTAGAAGCAAGGAGAAGATTTGACAAGGTACTGTATGTGTTCTCTAGGAGAGAAGAGATGAAACCTGCAACTTTTATCTTTGTAATAACCTATGTGGTAAAGAAGAGAAATAATAAGAAATGTGATTTACATAGCTGAAAGTAGCAGCAGTGGAGTCTATAGTAGTTAAATTTTACTCTGTTACTTAGCAAACAGCTACACGTAAAATCAACCAAAGCTGTGTTGCTCAGGAAGGAGGAGGAGAGAGGAGATCCCTGCCTGGGCCAAGTTCTCCATGAATTCGGTAAGACCAAAAAAAGACAAGGGCAAGAATCTGGGGGTTTTAGAAGGGGGTTATGCCACGTTTATTCTCACAGCAGAAGGTCTCAGTCCCTTCTGGCTCGGGCGCTGCCCCCTCCTGCACCCCAGCGTGGGCTTAATCCTCTCCCAGCACTGGGGCTCCACAGCTCCGTATGCCAGCTGCCCGTCTCTCCTAGTTCTTACTCTAGGCTTCCCTTCTCTACTCTCCAAGCTCCATGCTCCCACACTCCCACCACTCTCGCCCCGCTCTCCTGGCCCTCTACTCCCGTCCTCTAGCACTGGGTTGGACTCTGTGGTCAGATCTCTGTGGAGACTGGCAATGCCTGACCAGTTATGTACCAGAAACGGAGGAGAGGAGAGAATGGGTGTTTCCTCTCCACCCCTCCCTGCGTCAGTACTGCTGTGGCTGACCAGTGGCTCTGTCCCTGGTAAACATCCTGCCTCTCTCATAAGTATGCAAAGCAGGCTCCTATATATACATACAATGGACACTATTAAGGCCAGGCAGGAATCCTGGTCAGAAATTTCCATTTTCTTTATGGCTGTTCCTGCACATGGTATATTGTTGTACACTGTACATGCTGTAGAAAACACCCAGAATCTCAACCTAAGGAAAAAGAAGAAGCGGTGGGAAAACAACTCAGACAATCTGTTCCTAATACAGACACAAATTTATTTAAAGCAGACACAATGATAGTACCTTCCACAGAGCACAGGCAGTAATCCAGAGGCTCACTGACCACTCACACTGTGAAACTTGCCTCCACACACACGTTGCAATCAAGGATCCAGAATTTAGCAGGAACCAAACTTTTGCTTTTTTGAGGCAAGCTTAGCTAAAAGATCAGTAGATACAAAACAATCGTAATGGTAAACACTTTAATGAATGACCAAAAACCAGATGCCTAATCTGATTTAAAAAAGACATCATTTAGCTTATGCTTGCTCAACTTGCTAGACAAAAGAAAAGATTCCAAATAGGACTTCCTCAGAGGAAATCTTCTTTGAGCAATGTGAAGGAATCCATTTCTGACAGAAACCCAGGATAATGGGAACTGCTCGGCCTGTCCATGGAGAAGTCCCACTGCAGGAGGCAGTCTAGCTCTGGAGTCAGAGCCTTGGAGCCAGACTATCATCTTCTAGTTATTAACGATGGACCTTTGCCAAGGTACTTATCTTCTCTGTGCATCATTTTTCTCAGTTATAAAATGGGGATACTAATAGTATCAATCACATAGATATAAAGCTCTTATGAAGGGGACAAAATAAGTCCACAGTAAGTATTAGCCACAGCTGCCTCACAAAAAAAAAATTGTATATGTGTGTATGTGTATCTTTGCGAACAGAATCTTGTTCTCATTTTGGAGAGAGGTTGGACATGAATAACCAGATAATTTGCTATTATAACATTCTTTTCACTTGGAGAACCATTTAAAAGTAAATTTTCACATGTCATATATTCCTCATAGTAGGCCCAATTTACCTTTTCTCTTCCCAAAGAAGAGTATCAGGGATAAAGATTTTAAGGGAGAAAACATGACTTGGTGAGACTTAGTAAAAGGATGGAAAAACTACTACTGTGGGGGCCGTGGTTTCTGAGAAAATGACAGTCGATGGAAACTAATGTAAGGTTGTTTGTCTGTTAAAATCAGAAGCAGGGTATCAAAAATGCAGTGGTATCCAGAGTAAAAATGTTCAGAGATGTGCGGCATTACTAGTGTAAGAATAGAAATAGGTTAGCATAAGCATAGCCATCTTAAAGGCCTAGAAGCCATTTTCTGAGTATGTGACTTAGAAAGAAAAACTGGAACTGGGTAAGGCCTTGAAAAACAAGTTAATCATGAGCACCGGGTGGTGGGCAGCTGTGACCCTTGGTCAGCTAACCTTGGTCAGTAAATCTTACATACCAAGCTTATCGTGCAGAACCTCCCTAACCATTGAGGAGTAGTCTTACCCTGCCCTTGCTTAACCCCAGGATATATGTCTTGCAAGAATAATGTATAGTTATAGAAAATTGCTATGAGTTAAGTGCTTTGAAATTGCTATATAAACCCTTGGCTCTGAGTGCTCGGGGTCCTTGTTGAGACCCGCTGCTTCGGGCTGACTTGGACCCCAACTAGTTGGCTGAATAAAGACTTTGCTTGAATTTACATCTCTATGCCTGTGTAGTTTGTTCTCTGGGGAAGCCTCGGAAGCCTGGACCCTAACACTAGCAGGGCAAGTACACCCCATATGGCACATTACAAGGATCAGGGGGAAGCAAGGACCAAGTTAGAGGCCTGCTCAGACTTCAGAGGCCAAGTGTTTTGGAGTAAGAAGCTCAGTTTTGCAAATCAGAGGTGAGGACTCCAGAAATGGCTCCCTTATCCTACCTGTGCCAAAGATTCAGGGAGCATATATCCCTCTTCTGGGTTACTAGCAACCTGAGTCAAGCGACAAAAATTTATGAAGTACCAACTGTATACCAGGTTCTGTGCTGTGAAAAACAACAGCCTTTTTATTTCCAAAGGTTGTTTGATTTCTGCTCTGGGCCACTCTTCTGGCCATGAAGGATGGAGGGGAACCATAACCATAGCCCTTTTCTCTCCCATTCACACTAGGATTTTGCTTTTAGGATACTTAATGGACAAACAAACAAAAAAACTAAAGGATCACCCCAGAGACAGCAATAAAAAGAGGATCAATTGGCAACTAGTGTTTCAACTGAAGATCCTTACTCTTATACAAACTGTTTCTTAGATGAAAACTTTTCCAGGTGTTTCTACATAAGGATTTAGATTGGCATTCACTCTGCTTCTTCAACTGTGTCTTTTGGAAGCTTGGCTCAAGACATCTTCCAGTAGTCTTCTTACTCAATTCCTTTATCTTTCAGCTCCTGTTTGACACGTTTCAGATAATTAGGATCAGGGTAGCCATACCTGCAGAAGGAAAAAACCCCTCAGCCTCATCACAAATGGTTTTAAGGAGTCTCTACAGGAATCCCTGGCATTAATAATCAGTGTTGCAAACATTCATAAGGAATCCAGAAGGCAAATGATTTATAATCATTTGTAACTGTGCAGATGTGAGTTCTTTAACTAGTAAGTGAGCCTAGCTAGCTGTCTGCCCAGGATCTACCTTCCAACAAGGCTTTTTATTTTCAGCTTGTGATAAGCAGTGACTCTCACAAAGCCTTACATCCTCACAAGAAACTCCAAATTAAATCACCTTAGGTACCATTCATCTCAGATTCTGAAGTCCCTTGCCCTTGGATGCAAAATCATGTAACCATATGATACTTTGTGATTGGGAGGATAGAAGGTGATAGGAAACAATCTTTCTTCCTTTGCAATTATCCTCCAGATAAGCCTCTTTCAAAATACTTTAGCTTACCCAATTCCACTGCTGTAAATAGTATCCTTTCGGTCACATCCTCAAACTGCCAAATTTTACAACCTATAAATTCTATTTAAGCAACCATTATGTTTTCAAAAGGCTCTCACATTTCTGGTCCCCCTTGACGGCTCGTTTTATGGTGTATATCATTCCAGGTAATTACATCTGAGAGTCCCAATACTCGAGAGTACCCCACTGTGAAGATAAGCTTTTGCTCAAAGGCCCTACGAAGCAATCTCAAAACCTCCTTTCCTTCTTCATTATCAGGCAAGTATGCAGTTCGCTGTATTCCAGGATAGCTCTTGCCTGGGTTTGGGTGCTCTTCCTGTATGAAGACAAGAAAATGTCACATGAAAACACTTCTGGGTTTACATACGACTGTATGAACAGATATGTTCATTTGCAGATAGAGCAAATCTAAAGCAAAAAAAGTATTGAAGGTTTGCTCATATTCCCAATAAGTCATATTTCTCCTCTTCCCCTAAATTCAAACTGGGAACACTATCCATCTTCCTGATGTCCCCCAGTCTAACACATAATCACCACCCACCCTCTCTCTCCCTTAATAAACACAAAAGGTCCCTAAGTTATAAGCAAACATTGCTACTTTTAGCACCATGTAGTGCACTTGCACATGACCAGAGAAATAATCCCCTGGGAAATACGCTAATTGGCAATAGACAGCCTCTTTGACTCTTGTAAGCCCAGCATACTGGAAAGAAACCCACGAACCTCAGGAACACTTACTGTTTGTGTGCCTCCTTTCATATTATAATGAATCATAATGGAGCCACAGGATTCATAACCTGGAAGTGAGTGTTTTGTGACAGTGACATACATTGTTCCTTCTGGCTGATTCCCTTTCTGGATACCATAGGAAGTCTGGCACACAGGACAGGTCGGCTTATAGGACAGGGCTTTGTCGATACAAGGGGTGCAGAATTCATGCTTGCACTTTGGTAGCACTCGTTTGTTTCTCATGATGTCCAGACAGATGACACATGTGTCCTCTTCCTTATCTACTCCTGACACCCCAGAACTGGCAAAGTGCTGGAATCTTGGGGAAGCTGTTTTTGAATCAGTACTATCAATGTCCATGGGCGTTGCATTCCATTTCTCTCCAGCGGATGGAGACATTGCCCATCTTTTTAAGACATACTGCTTTGCCTTTGCAAGGTGATTTGGCAACCCAGTCAAAACAGCTGACTCCTGAGTTAGTGCGAAGTGTATATTTGGATGCCTTTCTCTAAAGTCGTCAGTGAACTTGGTCCCAGATAAGTGCTTTGTCTCCTTGCCCAAAAGTGAAAAAACTTCTCTCACCAGCTGACATGAGACCTGTTGATAGGCATCAACGAAACTTGCATAAGCATGCACAGACAGATCTACCTCCTTGTCCTTTGGTTCGAATAGAATGCAGGTTTTCTGAGCTTTTCCCACAATCTTCCTTTGAGTGTTATACTTCTTTTCAATCTCTGATATCGCCTGGAGTAATTCAGCTTCTAAAAGCTTATAACGAGCAGTGTCAACCTCAATTCCATTCATCATGTGCCTGGGGGTCAATATTTTCATAGGTACCTTGACATGACTTTCAGTCATTTTGGAGGCAAAAAAATGTTTGGCAGCTGAGGTGTCATCTAGGGGCCCAAGGAGAGTTAATTCTCCTCCTTTCTGCTTTATAAGGAGCTTTGTAAACTGCTGATTCAACTGTTGTTTGACTTCCTTTGCCTGTTGACTATCTGCTAAGGTGATACAAACTTGATTCAGAGTTCCTACACTCTTCTGAAATTCACTGGCAAAAGACTCATGAGCTGCTTTGAGGTTACCTGCTTGACTAGAGGTGAAGTCTACATAGCCCATATTCGGAGAAGTCTCCTGAATTTTTATTTTTATACCAAATTTTTTCTCTATTGAGTCTATTTTATCAGGATAAATATATCTGAAGTATTCAAGTGAACACAAGGAAGCTTCATAACGGTTGCTTTTCTCTGCTGATGTGATTTTTTGCTCAGAGGGAGAAACACACCTGTCCTGCAGATGGAAGGGCTCCCTCTGTGTTGTCACAGGCGAAGAGTCATGTTTCTGTTTACTCTTCAGGAGCTGTGCATTCAGGAATTCATGTATTTTTTCAATATCTCTGAAGTTACCATACACCTTCTCAATTCCATCATTGCCCTCCATTTTTCTGATATTGGGGCAGAGAGAGGTTATGTGTTCCCTCTGCTCTTTAGAGAACAGGTTACAGTTCAGGTCAGCTGTGACACCAAGAAAGATCTGAAATTTTAAAAGGAATAAATAACATCTCTCAGACATCCAGGCTTATGGTCTCTTCTCAGGAGCATGTCTAGAGACTAAAGAAATGACTACTATGTCTTCCCTCAGCAGAGGACAATTTCTTTCAAACCCTTTTTGCAGCTGTGGCAGCATGCTACAGTCTCATCTGCACAGTAGACTGCCCTGGGGAGTTTTTTTTTTAAAGACTAGGCTTCAGAGATTCTGGTGTAAATGTAGAGCCTGGGCATAAGCACTTTTTAAAACTCAGTGGACACCCACAGGAAGTCTGGATTCTAGAGCTGTCGCTCTCTGCTTGACCTTGGGGAATGAGGTGGAGGGAAGGCATTTCTTTCTGGGCGAGTTGCTATGTACGGTTCTCACAAAAGTCTGAGAGCCTGCAAGGGAGCCATAAATCTGGGGAGGATTTATTTTCTTATTACCTTTTTTTCTCTTCTTTAGCCCCCCTCCTTTTTTTTTTTTTTTTTAAACAACCAACTATATGCAATGTTGCTGGGCCTTCTAAACCCTGCCCTTCAGAAGCTCAAATATAAGACAACGGCCGCAGATTAGGCTAACAAGGACAGAAGTAAACTGAATGTAACAGAGGGGAGATTTCTGAAGCTGTGCTTCCTCTCAAGGTCTGCACTGCTATTTCCCCAGCGTGTAACATCTAGATCTTCCTTCAAAATAGTTACTGAATCTAGCCTCTTCTTGGCAAATGGTCATTGGACGAATAATGAAAGGTATGGTGACTGGAGAGAAAGTTGCCGGAACACACCAGCCGCTTCTGTCAATACTCACCTTTTGGACACAGCACTCCTCCGCAACAGGAATATGTTTTTTGTTTGGATGCTTCTCGTCAGACTTTGCCCCTTCTCTTGGCTGGGCCAAGAAATTTTCAACGGATTCCAGGATAATAGTCACAGGTTTGTTATCAACCTCCATTTGGTGAGTTCCTTTTTTCAACACTCTCTCCTTAGCTTCAGTGGAGACAGTAAACACATACATACACATAGGAATGGGAGAGATTTCAAATAATCCTTTTACATGCATCCGTACCCTGCTCCCCGCATCCTGGAATGGTAGGTTGGTGATAGGGGATGTCAGGGACCTATTTGAACTCTACAGTGGGCAGCTGAAGTTTTACTGTAGAAGTAATAGAATGTCATCCACTCACTAAAAGCCCTGTATCTGAAACTGTCCATTTCCCATTACAATGATATGGAATAATACTCATATATAAAGTTAAGTGGAAAAAGCAGGTATCAAAATGCAGACTCAGAACTTTGTAAATATATGTTGACTGACATTCATAGCAAAAGGCTGCAAAAAAATAGGCCGAAATGTTCACTTTCTTCATCTCCAGGTGACTTTATTCTTTTGTCTCATGTCATTGTCAAAAATAAATCAATGGTATAACTATTTAAAACATAAAAGTGGAATACCTAAAAGATGAGGTACCTGCGAGGTTCAGGGAGAGAGAAGAGTGTTCTAAGAGCTAAGAAATTCGAGTCAGGCGAGGATCCTGGCAAGCGTCACGTCTAACCGCTGTCAGAGCGCATCAGGCACCGGGCACTTCCGGAACCCCGGCCTCCGTGGTCGGGCTGCGCCTCTGGGCAGCGGGAGCCCCGGCTCCCGTCCCCCACCGGACGGTGCCGTACTGTGTCCCGCGCCCTCTCCCAGGTCAGCCTGAACCGGGTCGGGGCGCCCCCTGCGCGGCAGCTCACCTGCCCTTTCCCTGAACTGCACCTCGAAGGGGCCCTGGGCGCCGCCGCCGCCGCGCCGGACGGTGCACTCCCCGCCGTCCGCCTTCCGGCTCTGGAAGTACTTCTCCAGCTTCCACGGTAGCCGCGGGACGGACTCCCTTACGCGCACGAGCAGCGGGGACGGCGGGTCGTCTTCCGAGGCCATAGCTCTCGGCGTGGGGCTGGCGCGGGGGCGCCGGGATGGGGGCACCGGGACGGTGGCGCTGGTACGTCCCGCCCCGCCACCTCGGGCCGCAGCGTTTCGGTTTCGCTTTCCCGGAAGCCCCTCCTCGTTCCCGGCTGAGCCGCACCCCCGTCCTTCCCGAGCTGCCGGCCGCCGTCTGTCCGGTGAGTAGGTCGCGACTCAGTACCCCGTCCCCGGCTCCCGCTCTCCGGTCCAGCCGGCGGACGGGACGGGCCAGCAGCGGCCCCGCGGGCCTGGCGTCGCCCGGTGAGGGTGGAGACTGGTCAGCGGTTTAAGTCAAGTGTTTGTGATTCCTTCGGACTCCTACTGTTGTTACTGCTATTTGCAGCGAAAATTTAATCGCATTCTGAATTCAGGTGAGACTTAACTGAACTTTTTCTCTCTATTGTTTGCATGAAATATCTTTTTCCATCCCTTGACTTTTAGTCTGTGCATGTTTTTAGATTTGAGGTGAGTCTCTTGTAAGCAGCATATAGATGGGTCTTGTTTTTTTATCCATTCAGTAACTCTATGTCTTTTGATTGGTGCATTCACTCCATTTATATTTAGGGTGATTATCGATAGGTATGTACTTATTGCCATTTCAGGCCTTAGATTCTTGGTTACCAAAGGTTCCAGGTTACTTTCCTTACTATCTAAGAGTCTAACTTAACTCACTTAGTATGCTGTTACAAACACAATCTAAAGGTTCTTTTCTATTTCTCCTCCTTTTTCTTCCTCCTTCATTCTTTATATATTAGGTATCAAATTCTGTACTTTTTGTCTATCCCTTGATTGACTTTGGGGATAGTCAATTTAATTTTGCATTTGCCTCGCAATCAGCTGCTCCACCCTCCCTACCATGATTTTACTACCTCTGGTGACAGCTATCCAACCCTAGGAACACTTCCATCTATAGCAGTCCCTCCAAAATAGACTGCAGAGATGGTTTGTGGGAGGTAAATTCTCTCAGCTTTTGCTTATCTGGAAATTGTTTAATCCCTCCTTCAAATTTAAATGATAATCTTGCTGGATAAAGTAATCTTGGTTCCAGGCCCTTCTGCTTCATGGCATTTAATACATCATGCCACTCCCTTCTGGCCTGTAAGGTTTCTGCTGAGAAGTCTGATGTTAGCCTGATGGGCTTTCCTTTGTATGTGATCTTATTTCTGCCTCTGGCTGCTTTTAACAGTCTGTCCTTATCCTTGATCTTTCCCATTTTAATTACTATGTGTCTTGGTGTTGTCTTCCTTGGGTCCCTTGTGTTGGGGGATCTGTGGATCTCCATGGCCTGACAGACTATGTCCTTCCCCAGATTGGGGAAGTTTTCAGCAACTACCTCCTCAAAGACACTTTCTATCCCTTTCTCTCTCTCTTCTTCTTCTGGTATCCCTATAATGCGAATATTGTTCCGCTTGAATTGCTCACACAGTTCTCTCAATATTCTTTCATTTTTAGAGATCCTTTTTTCTCTCTGTGCCTCAGCTTCTTTGTATTCCTCTTCTCTGGTTTCTATTTCATTTATTGTCTCCTCCACCATATCCAACCTGCTTTTAATACCCTCCATCCTGTTCTTTAACAATTGGATCTCTGACCTGAATTCATTCCTGAGTTCTTGGATGTTTTTCCATACCTCCATTAGATTGTTGATGATTTTAAATTTAAACTCCCTTTCAGGAAGAGTCATGAGGTCCATATCATTTAAATCTTTCTCGGGAGTTGTATTAACAATTTTACTCTGGACAAGGTTCCTTTGGCGTTTCATGTTTGTATATGGCGCCCTGTAGTGTCCAGAAGCTCTATTCTGGAGCTGCTCAGGCCCTGAAGCAATGTTGGGGGTCGCAGGGGAGCGGTACTTGTGCCTGGGGGTAGGAAAGAGCTGTTCCCCACCTCCCAGCTGCTGTGCCTGTCTCCACTGCCTGCACCAGTGGGCCGGTCACACAGGTGTAAGTTTTTATCTCAGAGCAACCGGATATGGATCCCTGCTTTCCACAAGCAGCCGGAATCCCAGTGTCCCCAGGAACTCTGCCTGTATTAACTTTCCAACCCAGTAGTTATGCGAATCTCATGAAAGCACCATGAAATGTAGGTTTGTGCTCCCAGAGCAGATCTCCGGAGCTAGGTATTCAGCAGTCCCGAGCCTTCCACTCCCTCCCTGCTCCGTTTGTCTTCCTCCTGCCAGTGAACTCGGGTTGGGGAGGGGCTCGGGTCCCGAGGAGCCACAGCTCTGGTACGTTTCCCGTTCGCTGAGATCTGCTCTTTTCTACAGGTGTATGCAGTCTGGCGCCGTCCTCTTTCCTGTTGCTCTCTCAGGATTAGTTGCGCCAATTAAATTTTCTAATTGTATCCAGTTTTAGGAGGAAGCCCCTGTCTCTCCTTTCACACCGTCATCTTTAATCCTCTCTTTTAACTGAACTTTTTAAAAATTGAATTTGTCCACCGATATGATGACATATCGCCAGTTACCTACCGCCTTCCCACTCTAAACTTTCTGCTGCCTCTTCGGGCTTTCCTGCCCTCAGTGCCTGATTTGGACAACAGTACTGAATGGCATGCTGCCCTGTGGACTGGGAAGTAAAGATGAGAGTGGAGGCTATGAGCTCACGGACTGGTGAAGGGGGGTGGACTTGTAAATAAGGCAAAATCTTTTGACGGCTTCCAAGAGGAAGTTTGAAGCAGAATCTGAGTGAGAGGGGGAAATGAAAGTGGGGCAAGCTTTCGAGGCACAGGGACCACTGGTCTGAAGCACAGAGGAAGCACTGAGGCCTTGCAGAAGCTGGGATGGGTGAGGGAGATGACAAGGGGCCATATTAGTGCTGTCCAAGAGAAATAAAATGGGAGCCACACAATTTAAAATATTTTAGTAGCCATGGTTTTAAAAGTATAAAAAGGCGAAATTAGTTCTAATGATAGATTATTTAGCTCAATATGTCCTAAATTAATCATTTCAGCAGGTAATCAATGTAAAAAAATTATAAATGAGATATTTTACATTCTTTTTTGTCATACTGTCTTTGCAACAGTGTTTGCCTCACTTAAACCACATCTCAGTTGGGACTAGCCACATTTCAGGTGCTCAAGAGCTGTGTGTGGCTATTGGTCCAGCAGGGCTAGGTGGTGAAAAGTCTTGATCAGTGGGGAGAAAGGGAATGGTTATAAGCAGGGAAAGCAAGGGAGTGATGAGTCAGATGTGCATTCTGGAAAGCTGATGTTGATGGTGATACAGAGGGTACATTTCCATGCAAGAATGAGTGGAGGCAGAGAGGCCATTGATATGGATTTTCACATGGTTGGTAAGATTGGAAATGAGTCATTTTTAGAGCAATTTGGCAATACTCTTAAGAATTACAACTGCGTATACTTTGTGATTCTGCAGTTTCACTTCTAGGAATTTGTCCCTGTGATCAGTTAGTGCCTGTGTGAAGTGACCTATGTACAAAGTTGTTCTTTACAGCTTTCACTGTAATAGCAAAAGATTGGGAACTCCTTAAATGTCCACAAATAAATAGAGAGACTAGCAGTTAAGTAACTTACAGTGTATCTATACAGTGGAATACAATGAACAGTCAAAAGAATGAAGAAGCTCTCTATCTGCTAACTGGAAAGATCTCCAGGATACATTAAATGAAAAAAGGATACAAGATGCAAAAGAGTGTGTGTAAGATGTTATGTTTTGGGTAAAAACGCCTGTGGAAGAAGAGGAAAAGTTCATAGCACTGACTATCTCTGGGAAGGGAATTTACTGAGGGAGTAGAAGAAAGCCTTTTACACTTTCTAAATTTGAAGTAGTAAATATAATACCTATTAAAACAATAAAATTAAATTAAATACATTTAAATCTTTAAAAAGAATGTATTGCCATAGCTCAGGCAAGAGGCGTTAAAATCCTGAAGTGAGGTGATCTCAGTGGGCAAGGAGGATAGGGGCATATTTGAAAGTGATGAATGATGGGGTTGGATATGGGGCAAAAGAGAAGATTCTGAATTTCTGACATGAGTGGATGAATGGCATACCATTTACTGAGCTATGGGATCCAGGAAATAAAACATGGATTTTGGAGGGCGTTGAGAGGGTAAGGGAGTAGGGAGTGAGGATGAGGAGATGATGGGTCCAGTTTTGCAGAAACTATGTTTGAGGGGACTTTGGGACATCCAGATGGAATTGAAGAGTGAGGCTTAGGAAAATCATAGACTAGAGATACAGAAATGGGAGTCATAATTGCACCTGGTGAGTTGGAGCCATGGAAGTGGATGAACTCACCCTTGGAGGGTAGGTAGACTGAGCTGAGCAGTGCCTCTCAAACAGAATCCTGTAGCAAGCGATTAAGGGGTGGACTGTGGAAGTGAATCTAGAGAAAAGGCCTATAAAGGCAGAGTGATAGGTAACAAAAGAACTAAGGGAAGATGACATAGGAGAAGCCAAGACAGCAGGGTTTCAGGAATCCAAGGATGAGATACTGTAGAGAGAGCAGTCAAGTAGCAATTAGGACAGAAGATAGGCCCTTGGGATTAGCCACATGGAGGAGCTGTGGCTGAGGTGGGGAGCCAGCCTACAGTGTGCTGAGCGGGCAGGTAGGCAGAGAAGAGGCAGCTCCTTTATGCAGTGCAAGAAGAGAAAGAAGCAGTAGGAAACTGATGGAAAATTGGGAAGGCTTTTCTTGTCACTGTTGTTTTTAAAATGGAAATATTGGATGTTGTGGCCAATATATTCCTTGTTTCTAGTTTCTTTGGGGTTCAGTGAATGCCATCCTCACTGCCTTTCTCTCTAGGGTCTTTCCTGGTATGAAGGAAAAAAGTACACCACCATCTAAAGCAAAGAAAGACCAGCCAGCAACACGCAGCTGAAGCCGACCCCGGAGGGTCCTTTTGTGGAAATAGCAGTGCCCTCTGGAGACAAAAGCTCGTCTTGTCCTTGCATTTTAGGATTGTGCTAGACTTGCC